CCATTTTTAGTGACCAATTTTATTCCGTGTTTACAAGAGATAACAACATTGTTCCTAACTATGACGTCCAATCTGAGCTACCCGGTCTCCAGAACATTACTATCAGTGAGGCGGGTATCTTGTCATTGTTACTAAACTATGATGTAAAGAAGAGCAGCGGCCCGGATGACATCCACAATTTGTTTCTTAAACGCTATGCGGAATGGGTTTCAAAATATTTGTTTGTCATTTTTAAAACGTCATTGGCCACTTCGAGATTACCTGCAGATTGGAAGTTAGCAATCGTTAAACCTATATATAAATCGGGTGACCCTCGGATAGCAGTTAACTATCGTCCCATTTCTTTGACGTGTATCAGTTGTAAATTACTCGAACATAATATTGCTAAACATATAGTTGCCTACGTCACGGAGCATAATCTTCTATCGAATGTACAGCATGGTTTTAGAGCCGGATACTCGACAATATCTCAGTTAGTAGAAACAGTGCATAATTTTTCTTCAGTTATTAATCGCCGAGGCCAAGTTGATATAATCTACCTTGACTTTTCAAAAGCCTTTGACAAGGTTTCCCATCCAAAGATTTTATTAAAATTACGTGCGATCCTAAAAAACGATCAAATCGTAAACTGGATTCAGGATTTCCTGTCGGGGAGGGGACAGTATGTAATGTTTAATCAGACTGCATCTTCCATAACAAATGTAGAATCCGGGGTACCACAGGGGTCAGTTTCGGGGCCACTGCTTTTCTTGATATTTATAAATGATATAGCTACTAATATCAGAGTACACATAGGATTGTATGCTGATGATTGCATCCTATATCATGAAATCAAAAGTCCCGATGATCATCTCATCCTAAATAATAGCATTCAGGAAATATCAAAATGGTGCAAAGATTGGCAAATGGTACTAAACAAAGAGAAAACTGTATTTATGTCTATCACCCGTAAAAAGCACCCCTCTCTTTTTTCATACCACATAGATAACCAAGTACTGATCCGGGTTAATGAATATACTTACTTAGGACTACATATAACACACAATTTAAAATGGGACAAACATATCAGCCCGGTTATAGATAAAGCGTCTAGAAAACTATGGGTTATGAGACGCAAATTACGGCAGGCAGCTCCGGATACAAAACTATTGGCGTACAAAACTTTTGTTCTTCCTATCTTGGAATACGCGAGTGTAAAGTGGGACCCTTACACAAAAAAAGACATCAATAGGCTGGAAATGGTACAAAGAAAAGCGGTTCGATTCATCTACGGGGTATATAACAGGCATGCTTCAGTTAGTGAGTTACTTAATAAAGCACAATTATCAACCCTTAGCACGAGAAATACTATTAACAAATTGAAACTGCTCTTCCAGATAATTCATGGCATGATCAACATCAATCGGGACAAGTATATATCATTTTCTGCACGCTCCAATACACGTAGCCAGCATCCGTATTATATCCTTGAGCCGTTACCGCGAAATAATGTTTTCCAATACTCCTTTTAGAGCGCAGCTCTTAGGGGCCCGTTTCCGGCTTGAGCGGCGTCGCCGTCGCCGTCGCCGTCGGCGTAACCGCGCGGTGCATCATGGGAAATGTCCCATAATGCACCGCGCGAGCCCCCTACCGGGGTCACGTGACCTCGTGGGGGGCACGTGACCCCCGAGGTCACGTGACCCCGGTGGGGCGCTCGCGCGGTGCATTATGGGACATTTCCCATGATGCACCGGGGTCACGTGACCCCCCCCCAGGTCACGTGACCCCCCGATGTCACGTGACTCCCCTGAAGTCACGTGACCCCCGAGGTCACGTGACCCCCCGAGGTCACGTGACCCCCGCCGATGTCGCGTGACCCCCCGATTACGTCATCGTCACTGATGACGTCACCGGCATCCACATCGTCATCGTCATCATCACTGATGACGTCACCGGCATCCACATCGTCATCGTCATCATCACTGATGACGTCACCGGCATCCACATCGTCATCATCACTGATGACGTTACCGACATCCGCATCGTCATCGTCATCATCACTGATGACGTCATCAGTGACGTCACTGATGTCGTCACCGGCATCCACATCGTCATCGTCATCATCACTGATGACGTCACCGGCATCCGCATCGTCATCGTCATCATCACTGATGACGTCACCGGCATCCGCATCGTCATCGTCATCATCACTGATGACGTTACCGACATCCGCATCGTCATCGTCATCATCACTGATGACGTCATCAGCGACGTCACTGATGACGTCACCGACATTCGCATCGTCATCGTCATCATCACTGGTGAAGTCGTCATTGACGTCACTAATGACGTCATCGGTACCCGCATCGTCATCGTCACTGATGACGTCATCAGTGACGTCAGTGATGACATCATCGGCATTGGGGGTCACGCGACCCCCAAGGTCACGTGACCCCCCTGGTTAGTTTAACCCCCCCCCCCCAGTGCCCTTCCCTCCTCCTCCTCAAGAGCTGCGCTCTAGTTCGGCGTTACAGGGAGTTGTAAGCGGCTTTCACTTTTTTCCATGCACTTTCAAAGATTGGAATAACTTACCGGCTGAAATAACGAGCTCTAGTTCCCTAATTTCATTTCTTGATTCTGTTAGAAAACATTCCAATGTTGAGTGAAGATTTTGTTTCTATTTGTATTTGCTTGCATGTTTTTCCTTTCGTGACATATTAGCGTCATATGGTTCTTGTGTTTGTTTATTTGATGGCTATTTTGTAACCTCATGAATGTAACCATTCCTACAATGGTCCTGAACAAGGACCAGTAGTATAAATAAATAAAATAAACAAATAAGTTGAGTCGATGCACGAGGCACGTGTAATGTGCAGCCCATGGGAAGATCATGGCGGCACAGCACAGCACAGCACTAAGCTAAATATCAGACACCATGATCTTCCCAGAATTGGCGCGCAGCGCATGTCTCTCTCATTTCCAGAACAGTGAAAGCGCCACTTTTCCCGGAATAGAGCAGCTTTACCAGTGTTTGCCAGTTCGCGTCCTATGAGTGGCATTGGAAGTTGCACTCCTCTGATTGTCTCGGCAGCACAGGCATGGCGAGTCAGCCTGCCACCTGCGTCCGCGTTTTGATGGACGTGAAAATTCAGGAACTGTTGATGTATTCAGATTTATATGAAATTGATAACGATGATAAGTGACCTGTCCAGCGACTACAGAGAGGAAGTGCCGCTGCCGCCGAAGAATCAGGGGAAGAAGAGAAAACTTGACGAGAGGAATTTCTCTTGGAAGAAGAAAGAATTCAACCCTCAAGAACACACCCAGACAACACCCCACATCCACAGAACGTCCTCAAAAGGTACAAACGTCCTCACGGTTTTCATAACGTCCTCAGGACATCCTGAGAACGTCAGTCGCTGGATCATCCTAGAAACATCCTTCTGAGGACTTACTGAGGACGAAGGATACAAAGTAGAGGTAATATATGCGTCCTCAATTTGATTGCGTTAAAAAAAAAAAATGAATGAAATGGCGGTAGTGTACACAGTTCATGTTTACTGCTAAACTAAATTTCACAAGCAAAATACTGCATGTTTAGGACACCTTTTAACTATAGTTTCGATCAAACAATTCTTTAATAAAACCAGGACGCACTACAATCATTATTAGTTTTGTATTTGCGCAGTATTTCGGAATTCATTTCCATAGGCAAGATTCAATCTAGGTGGCGCAAGCTACCGCCTACTGCACTTTTTTCCAGTACTCTTTAACACCGGCGTCCAGTAAGCTCGAAGTGGGAAAGTTTGTTTACGCCGGACATTGCGGGGAAAAAACCCGGCAGGGAAGTAAAGAGCAGTCGGAAAAAAAAAACACGCCAGTGAAAGGGCTAACAAAGTTTGAATATGGTCAGCTGAACAATTACAAATTAGAAAGGAACATCGGCATGACATCTTTCTGGACAATGCCGGTCCTGCAAGTGCTCTCCTAATTTTAACAACATCACCATTATAGGGCGGCACCGGAACGCATATGCACGTGAACTAATTGAAGCTCTGGCCATCGAAGACAGTGCTCAACTGTTCGTGAGCACCCCGTCTATCACTATCTACCCGAAAGAAAAACAATACTTGGGACGTGGCACGAGCCACATAACACCCTGATGGGGGCATCGCGCGGACATGGCGGATGGCTGTCATCACTAGCTGTAGTAAAGGGGAAAAAAGGAAGACGAAGTATTAAAGTATTAAAGGCAGCAAGTTGATAGTCAGCGGTGTGTATGTATTTCCTCTCACGGTTTTTTCTAATTTGTAATTGTTCAGCTGACCATATTCAAGTATGTACCAACTAGCTCAAGTAAAACCTGTAGTACGGCTAACAAAGGGTGTGGAAGAGGTTTGTTTGAAGCACGGTTCTATGTAGTGACGTCATCACTTACGTGTTCAATTATGGAAGTCAGAAAACGAAATTCTTCTCCACGGTGTCGATCCGAAAGGCATGCGAGCAAAAGCAGCGTCGCGTTGAGAAATGAAATTCATGGGAAACGTAAAACCATTTTCCTGAGATTTCAGATAACGCTTCAAAAGACTTAGAACAGTAATTTTACACACCAGGATATCTCAAATGTCATTCTGCAGAGTAAACTTTCTTTTTTCTTTTTTTTTCTTGTGGTTAAAGTTTTTGGTTTAAGTGTTTTTTTGGCTGAAGTTTTCTGGCTCAAGAACATTGGACATTTTCGGGCTCCGATGCGTTTTGCGGTCACTGTTGGTGTCTTTTTCATACACTGATTATGATCTAATAAACACATTTGAATAATGGAAACAAAACGCAAGTAGAATGTGTACGTCATACTTCAAGATCATCATCGTCGATAAAAGAAAATGCAAAGAGGTTCGCACGAGCGCACGCGAAGGCTGGTTCTTCGTGTCTCCACTGTCTCGACGACCTATCCGTTCCATCGGCTGCAATCTACGAATACTCTGCGAAAAAGAGGGTTGCCTTAAAGATTAGCTTCCAAAAGAATGGCGACCATGAAGGCCAATAAGCTCGCCAACCGGAACACACAGTTGGCCAACATCCGCAGCGCGTCGCCAAAAGTTCCTTCCAATGAAGAGGACATCCACGTCTACGGCTATGGCCAGTTCCAGAGGATGGCGCTACTCTGCTCTATCGTCTCGTTCTTTATGAATGTAGTCCACAGCCAGACGCTCCTCGTCATGTTGCGTCCGGTGGCCCATTGGTGCAAGCCCCCCGACGAGTACGCCGGCTTGTCCGCGGACGAGTGGAAGAACACGAGCATCCCCAAGGACGTGGACGGAAGATTCAGCAGCTGCACCCGCTACGAACCGCCGATCCCAACGCCCGCGGACAACAAGAGCGAAGTCAGGTGCAACCGCTGGGACTACGACAGCGAGGTTGGCGCCACCATCGTGAGGGATTTCAGCCTCGTCTGCGACAGGAAGTGGCTGCTCCGGGGGCTCCGGTTCGTCTACTCTCTCGGCGGATCGGTGCTTCTGCCCGTCATGGGCTCAGCGGCCGACAGCTATGGGCACAGGGCAGTCCTCGGCCTAACCCTGTTCGGCATGGCCTTGTTCGGGTTGGTCACGTCCCTGGTGAAGACACTCTTCGAATTTCCGGTGCTGCAGCTTCTCACGTCTGAATCGATCACCACGTTTCAGGTTGATGACGGGATGCGCGGTTCCGTTTTTAGAGAATATTATTATAACGTTTTTTTTTTATTTCAGTCGATGAAGGAAGGTGAACAGTTCAGCGCACAAAAAGACAAAGATATATCACTTCGTGGTATTTTATTTTGGCTTAGATCATTTGAATTTGATGACAAGGACAAAGAAAAGAAACAAGCACGACACGCAGGCGCAGACTGGCAACTGAATTTACACACAAAAGAATGAAGAGAACGTACTGAAAGTTACGCTATGCCAGGGCGTGGAACACACCATGCAACACCGTCTAAGTAATATGTCTTTGCACCATAGTCCTGTATAAACACAAGGTTTCTGGTTGTAGCAGAATGACTGATAGGTTTCTAATGCAGCGGTCCACGAAACTATTATTACAAGGTGCTTCCGAAAAATTCGCGAGTTGTTTTGTTTCGAGATATTGTTGTGCGGTTAAAGGGGCTATGCAATAATTTTGACTTCGAAAGAGTTGGCAGTTTTTAATTTTTTACAACCTTTATTTTCCAAAAATGGCGCGGAAAAACCACCTCATTCTCTTGAAATACAGTAGTCTCGCGATAATTCAAACTTGGCTATTTCGTACATCCGGTTAATTTGAACAAATTTTAAAATTTGGGTTGTCCCGCTATGTTTTTAATGCATTCATCAGCGCTTAGTTGAAACGGTGTTTTCGTTTAATTCATACTTTCTATACCCGTGGCCCCGTTGGGTGCTCTTATTTCCGAGCAAGGTTGCACTGCAGACAGACAACGCCCACAACGCGTATAGGCTGGTTCAAACAGCACCGCTTTCAAGCGTTGCGTTTCGTTACGTTAGGAAAAGTCACCGGAAAATCTGTGCTTCGTATGAAGCTTGGCTACCAATTGAAGAAGTTAGCCTAGCACGCGACAGTCGAGACTGGAATGTTTCGGTGACGACGAGCTAGGATGATGAGTTACCCTGGCAACCAAGGACACAAGGTTCGTCGTAAGGTAACGTAAGGAGTTGAGCTCGGTTCTACTTTTCACACAGCATCGTTTTCTTACGTTACGTCTAAGCCACCGAAACATTTGTGTCTCGAATGTCGCGTGCCAGGCTATCTCCTTGAATCGGTGGCCACGCTTAATACGGGGCACAGATTTCCCCGTGACTTTTTGTAACGTAACGTAAGAAAACGGGGCAGTGTGAACGAGCCTTATTTCAGGGTGTGTTGCTTCTTCACACCACACTGGTGCTCAGTAAGAAGCGCACTCACCGGGCTCAAGCAGTGCACAGATGAGTTAAAAAGGCGGTGCAACAATTTTATGATTAAAACAAGTTGCATCTCGTCATTTTTACGTTGTTTATCGTCTCCCAGAGGATAGAGAAAACACTTCCTTCTTTAAAAAGGTCGCGATTCCGCTGCATAATGGCAAAGCAAAAGTCCAGCTTTTTCCCCCACCTGCAGCCCCAAGTGGCAGCCGAAGGAACTACGGCGGAAAGATTACGTGACCTCGCTCGGCTCTAAGCTGCAGCATAGCGCCCGCTAATGTACGCAGAGAGAGGGAGGGGAAGCGTCCTCTGAGATAGCACACGGGAACCTATACGGCACTCCGGATGACGTCACTGGGAGTGCAACCAGGTGTGACCCTGAAGACTGGGAGTGAGTTGAGGGGTGCCCGAAATGCCAATCTTTATCTTTTTTTTACGCAACAACTAGGACGCGCAGGCGAAATCGTTTTTCTGTTCTTTACTTCAGAAGTGTCAGGGGGCAACTTTCAGAAATCTTTGACCGAAGTCCGAAAATCGTTGCACCGCCCCTTTAAGAGAACGGGCACCCCGCAGAAATTCACATGGCAACTTGCGCGGGCGCTGTTGCCTGGCAGCACGGAATAGGTCCACGTTACGGCATAAGCGCAAGCTGCTCTGAAAACTGCCACTCGGTGCCCATTCGTGGCTCATGTGTCTCCCGCTTAATAGTCCACATCAGACAACATGTTGGCCTGATGAATAAACCGAGATTTCGTTTTCAGTTGTCATGCGCTGTCTAAACAAACCACTATAAACAGCATTTTCGAGGAATAAATAAACTTATGTCAAGCATTTCACAATTGTGTTATGTCTGGCATACCTGCTCGTGATCAGTAGGCCAATGTAGAGGTAATCATCAGCCATCGGTTTTGTATTGGAAGCATTCGTACGGAAAATCATAATAGTAGCTGCTATAATATGTAAATGAATTTCTGATAAACGAAACAAAAATTGTGGCTTCCTGGAGTTTAAATTAATGAGAGTCTACTGTATCGATATTACGAAGCGTAATATCAAAGCAACTAACGAATATTTCGCGATTTGCAGCTGCGGGGTGGCGGCAATGGGAAATAAGGCATGACTCAAACCTGGGTGCAATGCAATAAGTCAGCAAGATGTGCAATTATGTGCTCAATCAAATACTATATTTTATAAATAATCTTTCAACGTGTGTAAATAAGTCAATAACTTTATATCATCGGGAAAGCTGTACAATATTCAGTTTTAGTGGCGCAATCTACCCCCGAGGTGAAAAACAAAACCTGTTTCCTCCCTTGAGCATTTCTATTGCTCTTGACTATTCCTTTGCCTATTCGTCCCCCGCCTACTATGCCAGTCGGACTTCCTTCCGAAAAAGAAAGCTTTTCGCCTCCTCCCCCTCCCTTCTTTCTCCCCCTCTCCACGTCGCTCAGACCAACCTTCAAGGTCACCATGTGAATCGCAAGCAGGGGACTCGCGCGCTGGAGGCTCTGGAAAAGAACCTAAAAGGGATTCTCCGTGTCCTCAGTGCACCCGGAAATACGTCACTGAGCACGTGACTCGGAAGACGATGTAAGAGTTGAGAGTGGTTCGGAGACGCCGAAAACGTCAATTGTAGGACTTTTTTTTGTTTTCCAGAACGAACGCGCGAAAACAAATTTGTTTTCAGTTTGTTTTTTTTTTTTTGTTTTTTTTTTTTTCATCCAGACAAGACAAGGAGCAACTACCACAATTATTCGACCGAAGTATTCGGTGATATAATTGTTGTGGTTGTTCTCTGTCATGTCTGGATTTAATAAAAAAACTTGCCTTCGCCAGTTAGTTTTTAAAAACAGAATAGTTGAACCATTGACGCAATACGTTCAATGCGAGTTAACTAAAACTGAAAACGTCAAGGATTGCTTTTCACTAGTGTTCAGCGTCAGAACATAAATATTATGAAAATTTTCTCAATCTTTCTCATCCGTAAAATTAAATGAGAAGGCGACCGTAGCGCAGGCTCAAATTGTATACATGTCTCGCACTTGAGGTCATCGAACCATACCAATAGTCATTCCTTGTTGTCCTTGCTAAGAAAAAAGTGAAAGCCGTTTACAACTCCCTGTAACGCCGAATTGGAGCGCAGCTCTTGAGGAGGAGGAGGGAAGGGTACTGAGGGCCACGTGTTCTCGGGGGGGGGGGGGGTCACGTGACATAGGGGAAAGGGTCACGTGACCTGGAGGTCACGTGACCCCCCGGTGATGTGACCAAAATTTCCCCGCTAGATTTAGCGGGGAAATTTTTCCGCTAGATTTAGCGGGGAAATTTTTTCCTCTAGATTTAGCAGGGAAATTTTTCCGATAAATTTAGCGGGGAAATGTTTCCTCTAGTTCCGCTAGATCTAGCCGGGAATTTTTTTCCACTAAATTTAGCGGAGAAATCGTTCCGCTAGGTTTAGCGGGGAAATTTTCCCGCTAGATTTAGCGGGGAAATTTTTCCGCTAGATTTAGCGGGGAAATTTTTTCCTTTAGATTTAGCAGGGAAATTTTTCCGATAAATTTAGCGGGGAAATGTTTCCTCTAGTTCCGCTAGATCTAGCCGGGAATTTTTTTCCACTAAATTTAGCGGAGAAATCGTTCCGCTAGGTTTAGCGGGGAAATTTTCCCGCAAGATTTAGCGGGGAAATTTTTCCGCTAAATTTAGCGGGGAAATTTTTTCGCAAAATTTAGCGGGGAAATTTTTGTGCTAGATTTAGTGGGAAATTTTTCCGCTAGATTTAGCGGGGAAATTTACCCATATTGCACCGCACGGTTACGTCGACGGCGACGCCGATGGCGACGGCGACGGCGACGCCGCTCAAGCCGGGAACGGGCGCCTAAGAGCTGCGCTCTGAGAAAAATTCGGTTGTGCGAAATATGTGGTCCACGAGGTACACGCGCAGCAGTGCAAGTCATGTTTACCACTGGGACATGTGACGTGCTCCTCCTTATCACTGGCTGAACGGGTTCAAGGAGGACTACGAATGTACCTTCCCGAAATATTCCGCAAAGCGTCTTGGCTTTCGCATATTTCATCGCTCGGGGAATTGTGGAACACTTCCGATGTACAATCGGCACGGAATGAAACCCGAACGCCGGAACGCGTGGCCGTTGATACAGGCTGCTCCACCTAGAGGGCCCCTGAGAACTAATGAAAATGCACCGGGGTGCGAGGGTGCGGGTCCTACGAAGATGAGCTCGACCCTCGCGCGGCGCGTCTGGGAGTTCCGCGTTTCGCAGGTGGCGCGATGTAAGCGCCGTCACATCCGATATAAAAAGCACTGTCACTCGCTTTGTGTATTGAATTCCCAGCGATATCTCTTCAGAGCTGTCACTCATTATCGCTTTGTGTATCGCAAGGGCGAAATGAAAGGTGAAACATTTCGTGCACGGAAGACCCGTAGTGCTTGATGACGTGTCACCGGAACACCGTGCCACGCGTGGGTTCTGAGGAACAGTGAAACGTCATAAACGCGAAATAAAATTCGTTTGTTCGCATGTCCACACTCTTTATGAAGAAAAAAGAATACTACAGCAGACTGACGCGGATGCCTCGGTTTTTATGAGCAATGCGCATGTTTTCATGCGAGGTTATCAGTCGATTCTTAAAAAGCGAGGAATTGCTTGTTGACGCTCTCTTCGGTAACCACCGATATGCCAGGCGTATCCATTCCGGAGCGGGATAAACTGACCACCCTGTCTGGGCAGGACCTATCGCAAAGAGCTATAGCCAGGTTAAGCGGCCGCCCAGTGTCGAACGGGCGACATGGGGCGACAGTGCGGCGACACGAAAACACCCTGAGTGACGGGGCTCACAGCGCGAAACGCGGAAGTCCCAGACGCGCCGCGCGAAGGTCGAGCACATTTTAGCAGGACCCGCACCCTCGAACCCCGGGCGCATTTTCATTAGTTCTCAGGGGCCCACCAGGTGGAGCAGCCGGTCTCGATGGCCACGCGTTCCGGCGTTCGGGTTTCATTCCGTGCCGATTGTACGTTCGGGCCGGTTCGAGCGTTTTGTACGTCCTGGAGGGAGCTTTATTCCTTTAGCTTACCACTGCGAGAAAAAAAAGACATAAAAAAAGTGAAAGCCGTTTACAACTCCCTGTAACGCCGAATTAGAGCGTAGCTCTTGAGGAGGAGGAGGGAAGAGTACTGGCGGGTGGAGTCAACTGACCGGAGGGGGGGGGGGTCACGTGACCATGGGGGTCACGTGACCCCCCAAGGTCACATGACCCCCATGGTCACGTGACCCCTTTCCTCCGGTCAGTTGACTCCACCCGCCAGTACTCTTCCCTCCTCCTCCTCAAGAGCTGCGCTCTAATTCGGCGTTACAGGGAGTTGTAAACGGCTTTCACTTTTTTACGTCCTTTTTTTTCTCGCAGTGGTAAGCTAAAGGAATAAAGCTCCCTCCAGGACGTTCAAAACGCTCGAACCGGCCCGAACGTACAATCGGCACGGAATGAAACCCGAACGCCGGAACGAAGTCATCAGTGACGATGACGACGCGGATACCGATGACGTCATTAGTGACGCCACTGATGACGTCACCAGTGATGATGACGATGACGATGCGCATGTCGGTGACGTCATCAGTGACAACATCAGTGATGATGACGAAGACGATGCAGATGCCAGTAACGACATCAGTGACGTCACTGACGACATTATCAATGATGATGACGATGCGGATGTAGGTGACGTCATCAGTGATGATGACGATGACGATGCGGATGCGGGTGACGTCATCAGTGACGTCACTGATGACGTTATCAGTGATGATGACGGTGACAATGCGGATGCCGGTGACGTCATCAGTGATGATGACGATGAAAATGCGGATGCCGGTGACGTCATCAGTGACGATGACGTCATCGGGGGGCGGGGGTCACGTGACCTTGCGGGGGGGTCACGTGACCTCGGGGGGTCACGCAACCTTGGGGGGTCGCGTGACCTCGAGGAGGGGGGTCACTGGACCTCCAGGGGGTCACGTGACCTTGGGGTGACCTTGGTTACGCCCACGGCGACGGCGACGCCGCTCAAGCCGGAAACGGGCGCCTAAGAGCTGCGCTCTGAAAGACTAACAGATCGAGTAGCCGAAACGTACCCTAATTATAATTTGTTATCGTCTTGTTTTTAGAGTGCAGCTCTTAGGCACCCGTTTCCGGCTTGAGCGGTGTCGCCGTCGGCGTAACCAAGGTCACCCCAAGGTCACGTGACCCCCAATGTCACGTGTCCCCCAGGTCATGTGACCCCCAAGGTCACGTGACCCCTCCCAAGGTCACGTGACCCTCCAAGGTCACGTGACCCCCCAGGTCACGTGGCTCCTCCCCCGAGGTCACGTGATCCCCTTTCCCCGAGGTCACGTGACTCCCCGATGACGTCATCGTCACTGATGACGTCACCGGCATCCGCATCGTCATCTTCATCATCACTGATGACGTCATCGTCACTGATGACGTCACCGGCATCCGCATTATCATCGTCATCATCACTGATGACATCATCAGTGACGTCACTGATGACGTCACCGGCATCCGCATCGTCATGTCATCATCACTGATGACGTCACCGACATCCGTATCGTCGTCGTCATCATCACAGATGACGTCACCGACATCCGCACCGTCATCACTGGTGACGTCATCAGTGACGTCACTGATGTCGTCACCGGCATCCAAATCGTCATCATCACTGATAGCGTCACCGACATCCGCATCCACATCGTCATCACTGGTGACGTCATCAGTGACGTCACTAATGACGTCATCGGTATCCCCATCGTCACCCTCACTGATGACGTCATCAGTGACGTCACTGATGACATCATCGGCATTGTCATCGTCACGTGACCCCCAGGGTCACGTGACCCCCCCAGTACCCTTCCCTCCTCCTCCTCAAGAGCTGCGCTCTAATTCGGCGTTAAAGGGAGTTATAAATGGCTTTCACTTTTTTTCTCTGCTTTTTTTTCGTTTTGAAATCGCAAAATGCTTAACCAGCATGAACCCACCGTCCTATTCGGTTGTCTTCCGTCGCGCTCTGTACATCGAATTGCCGTAGTACGCCGAAACGACTACGAGAGGCCCTGCGTATTTTCGGAATGGTCTATTGGTATGTTGAGAGCATCGAAGTGCCGTACCTCAGGAACGTTGAAGAGCTTCCAACAGGATGCCCGTATCCCCCCAGGCTATCAGCACCGTGCTGCTCTTCGAGGTGTCTCCGCAAGATCACCGGATGCACTTCCACATTCTTAACATCTGCGTGCCCCTGGGGCTGGGTAAGGTGGTGCTCGGGCCTATAATCACGACCTTGTTGCACTGGCCGGTCATGCAGCTTGTTGTGATATCGCCCACCCTACTGCTGCTGACCTACCACCTAACGGACGAGTCTTCGCACTGGCTGGTCACTTTGTGGAAGTTCAAGGATGCCAAGCGGGTTTTCTTCTGGGCGGCTAGGAAGGACGGTAGGAGGGCGCCGTCTCGCGTGACGGGTTCACCGCCTGGCCCACCATCTTCAAAATTGTTAGCTCGCCTCTGTTGCGTTCCCAGTCGCTCATCGTTTTTGGTGGTTGGTGTGTCATCTTCAACTGCTGCTACACCACAGCTCAATACAAATCGTTCGGAGGCGGTGCCGTCAACTTCTACATAATGATCGGTATCGCAAACATGTTCACTCAGACCTTCAACTACTTTGTCCTGAGGGGCTACGGCCACCGGAAGCTGATGTCGGCCTACATGCTGGGCTCTCGGCGCTGATTACGTCACTGGCGGCATTGGTGGCTCTGGGGATGGAGCTGGCGTTCGCGAAAGTCACGGTGCAGACCGCCTTCCTGGTGGAAGTGGCGTTCTCAACAATGTTTGTGTTCACCGTCGAACTCTATCCGACAGCCGTACGCAGTGCTGGCGTGTGCGGCGCTTTCCTGTTTGGGCGACTAGGCAGCATCTCTGCGTCGCGTTTTAGCGACCTGCGACTCCTGGATCCTCCGATGGACAGACTGATCCCCATGCTTGTCAACGCTACCGTATTCTTCACATTAGGTTTGCTGGTCTTCTCGTTTTTAGCGACGTTGGCGATGAGTGCAACCGACAAAAGCCAGGAGGCTGCACGAAAGGACAAGTGGAGGTTGGACTCGCCGGTGAAGAGGAAGAAGAGCAGACAGATTCCCAGGAAGTGTATCGTTCGAAGGGAGGGATTTCTTCCCTGTGTGAATGCTCTTAAGGGTCGTGGGAGTGCATGTGGAAACCGGCCACATCCGCCTATAAATTCCTAATCTATTAGGAACTGTATATTGGGAAACTTTATATTCCTTTAATGAACATAAAGCGTGCACATTAATATAGAGCGCAGTTTTGTCATCATTTTTAAATTAAAAACCTTGTCATGCATCGAGCAGCCTAAGTTACTTGCGCGAGCAAGTACAGCGTTCCGTTGCTTTCCCATAACGCCATCCTTCAATCGCCTAAACTTGTAGCCACGTATATGGAAAGTAATTTTCTTCGCTTATTTTGTTGCGTAGACAGATAACGATACTATAGCAATAAAGCGCGGTAATCGCCCAGGAGCACTAGACGACTTCGTCGCAATTCAGGCCCGCTGCGCAACCCTCTCGCGGTTCAAACATCCGAAAGTTCTGCGCGTGCAAAACGAGGTCGTCGACCTGCATCCTCCGATACTTGGGAAAGTTAGTTTTTGTTTTTGTTGTTTGAACAGATTGAGATTATACACTGAGAAGCTGAGGAAGAGGAGCAGATGAGAGGTCCTTCAGGGAAGGGCGCCACGAGAGCACACGACACGAAAACGCCGACGGGAGAGCGCGCGACAGGAGAGCGCCTCGACACTAGAGCGCCTGTCATGAGAGTGCTTGTGCACGCCTTGTTTTCTCGGATCGAACGCTTTATGTCATTTTATTGGTTGAGTGCGCAGATCTGTGGGAAGTCTAAAATATACACCTGTACTGCGAAATGCCGTACAATCAAAACAAGCATTCTGCGGACATATATTTGCAATCACCGGACACACAGAAAAACAAAACAAAAAAGAACGAGTCCATAGTCTATTAAACTTTTTGGCGAGCTAAAAACAAGTTTGCTGCATGAGAAACGTGTTGTTCCGTAGTTTTTTTTTGCGACCCCAAAATATCCAAATTTCTCGCCTCACTCTCGCGTTTGCAGATCATGATTAACTATCACCAGCTCGCATGGACCATTAGCTGTCTTCTCCGAGTAAAGATTGCCACAGAAAAATGTAACGCAGTTCATGGAAACGTGAACCCTAAGCCCTTTTTCTGTTCCCGTTTATCTCTGAACGAAGGCCAGACGACGTCTCGAAAGAGAGCGTTTTCACACGACGATACGATACCGCCATTTTTATTTTCACAATGGAGGAATCTACAGTGAAGTCGGGAGTTTTACTTCCCTGAAGAAAATACAAGTACATGTTACAAGAATTTATTTCAAGTAAAGTAAAATTTTTCTCAACAGTAGTACTTTAAGTACGATGTACATAGAGTACTTCCCAACACTGCTTGTTTATTATTTTTATATAAAACCGTTGGGGGAATTACTACAGGTTTCTTGAACGATCTTTGAATCTTTGAAGATCTGCACATTCTGAGCTTTGGAAGGAAAGGCAACGCAAAAAGGTAATCTTTGCGTTGCCTTTTAGCACGTGATTCTTCGAGTGCAGCACAAAATACGGAAGCAGCAGATGAGTTTCATGCAGGTGCTGCATTTTGATCACTCCTTTGAGTGAGGATAAAGTGTGTGCACCTTTTGCAGTGGGCGAGAGTTCCTACGTCGGGGCGAGGCGGGGACAAACCCTCGCTTTCAATACGTCAAGTCTCTTTGAGCTTCGGAACACAAAGAAACGCCAGTCTTCGGCGCTAATCCCGCAGTTACTTGGCCTCTCTTGCGTCTTGTCTGTTCGCTTCCCTCGCCTCGTAGCAGTGCCGTCGCAGGGAGGGGGGGGGGAGGTTTGGGAAACCTTTTGGGGGTTTCGGACTCTCCAAACCATTTTCTCTCTCCCCCTCTTCTTACGCCACATGCTTCCCCCTCTTTGCAAATATTAGCTATTTTCCAACATCTTGTCTCGTTTTCGCAGGAATGTTTAACAGGCAAGACAACCACCAAAAATCCAAAATAATTCGTGACTTGAGTAAAAGAAACTAACAAAAAGTAATATAAAGTAAACTACTAATTACCGAAATAAAAATGTAATTAAAAGTTACTAAACTGCTCAGAAAAGTAGCTAAACTACAGTAACTTGAGTAGAGTAGTTGAACTACGTACAAGTCTGGCGGAGAAATACCGCGTCGTACCGCGGAACAAGAGGTCGCTGGTTCGACGCCAGTCAAGAGACAGGAGGTAAAATTAGTTTCGAATGAATAGTGATATTCGCTGATGTCACGTGATATGACGTCAAAGATATTAGCGACTAGAAGAAACATCTGTTTTGATATCTGAAAACATTTTGATTTTCGATAAAAGATGAATGAAAATAATCACCGACCGATAATCGGTCAATAGATAGACCACCCATTGACATCATCGACCATCATCGGTCAATGGATAGACCATTAAATGATTAAAACCATCAATTGACCGATGATGGACTCTCGTCCGATAATCGATCGTTGGTCCGTGATTAATTTATTCATGCAGTATCGAAAGGCCAAAATGATTTCAGATATCAAAAACAGATGTTTCTGATCTCAGGAATGAGATATCAGAAAGAGAGGTTTCTGATATCTGAATAAATTAGGATTGGATAGGATTGGCTAACTGGTCACGCGCTCCTCCGTCAGACCTAGATATGCGGATAGGGTCGATGTTAGAATCTACATGCCCGGATATCGAAAACAACTCGATACCGGAAGCATGTGTTCTCAACGGAAACAGATGTTTTAGTATCGATTGGTTATCGGGTGATCGCGTACACGTCTACTACTTCCTACAAAGCTAACAAAAGCACCACACATTTTATTTTTGTCTGGTACGTTTTAGTTTTACCTTCGGTATAATTTGCGACGGGACGAATATATTTAATTTCGAACAAGAAAGCTGCGTCTGCGTTGCGACTTTTCGATCCGCATAACACAATACACTGATATTTCATGAATGCATTTTCGTGGTAGGTCGCTCAGCGCTCCGCGTACGAATGGCAGGTCCATTAGGCGTCCGTTGCTACACTTTGGCGATGTGTTTGCAGCGACCAGAAAAATGTGTTTGAGTGGCTTCGCGTGAAGTCGGAGCACTTAGTGTATCCGGGGAAGGCCCGCGCAATCGCGATGAATTCGCATTTCTTTATTGACAATAGCGCTAGCCCTCCACCATGAAATATACGGTTGAAAATTTATGCGATCCTCTACACCGTTATGCTCTTGGCAGTGAGAAAAGATAAGACGATCCTTCATTAACATATAGCTCTCCCTGACATTCAGACATGTTCTCGTTTCCAGAAAGACTCATCTTCTTCGCTGTGCTCCTGGCAGCACCCACAACCTTTCAAACTATCCAGTATGACGGCCCAGCGAGTGTCTTTAGTAGATTGATAGACATCCTCAACGTCGTTCTCCTCACCTTCGATCCTGGGAACAAGTTCTTGAACGTTTTCGTGCCCCCAGACTGCCTCCAGGACAACTCTTCGGAGTTCACCGATTTCCTCAAGACCCGAAAAGAAACGGTAACATTGTGGACTGACGACAAGAAACACCGGGACGCTTGCAATGGGAAGCCGTGCAATAAGTTTAGGCAGGTGCTTTTCCGTATGATTTTCTTTATATGCGGCAAATGCGAATCAGTTCACCTATGGCGTATCTTAAAGACAGATTACTTCATGACTGCTTTTGTCGTAGCGAAAGACGCGAGTCATTTTCCGGATTATTATTCCGAGGGTTCAAAAGTTCCATATCTGCCATTTCACCGCAGAGCCAGCGGTAGATACGTAATAGATTTCTACAACGGCAGTGTTTTCTTGACTAGCGAATTCGAAAGGAATGTCGCTAAACACAAGACTCTCGCAAGCAATCTACTGTCAACACGGCGACGAACGCTCAACGGGAGCTTTATAAATTTCGTATGTTACGATTCTAACGACTGCGAGCACCCAAGCTTTAACGTTACTTTATTGCTCTTGGTGTACCGCAACGCTTCGGTTAGCACAAAATACACCAAATATGTGAATGATCTGCATCTGAGCTCGTTTGTAAGTAGTTTAAACAATCGCCTAGACAAAGATGTCGCTGACGTCCTTACTGCTCTGCATTATTTTGGATCTGCTGGTTATTCCTTTTATGTTCGTAAACGTAATCCTGTTCCCAAGGAGACAATATTTATCTTGCCATTTTTGAAGGAGGTGTGGATAGGACTTCTCGCGTCTGGCCTCTTACTGGTCTTGTCCTATGGCCTTATTGCGAAGGTCACGCAAAGGCCGAATGCCGATGCATTAGTCTTTATACTTCTGATGGTGGCGGCGTTCCTTCAACAAAGCGTTCGACTTCACAGCCGTCTGCTGAACACGCAAACGTACCGGGTTCTTTACGGCGTAATGGCCTTAATGTTTGTTGTGATGTCGACTGTCTTCAAAGGCCGCATCACGTCGTTTTTAAACAACCTTCCGCTCGACGGAGAGGTCGCACAGTTTTCTTCATTTGAGGACCTTCTTATCAAAGGTCATCGGCTCTGCGTTCTTGAGATACCTACCATAACTGCTAGAGCTGAATCAATGGCATGGATGTCCAAGCAGGGAAGTTCCATCA